ATTTAGCCGTTAAAATTTTTACAACATACAACAATACGACAAGTACGACACCTTGTGAACTACCCAAATATTACTATTCGTGGGTACTAAAAGAAAGCTCTTAAACAACGCTTTGCCTATGTTGGTAGTGTTATCCGTTAGGATATTAGTTCAAGGGTTCTACTTATTTTCAATCGTACAAAATTTAACTAAAACATTTAATATGGATATCAAATGAAAGGTATATTTGATAAATTTAATCCAGAAATACTTCTGATAAGGGCTGTCAAGTTTTCTTTTACAATATAAATGTGTGTCTTATTCCCTTAACTGAGGTTGAATTAGACTTTTAAATAGCTGAGATAAACTAATATATTTAGTCATAAGCAAGCGGACCCACCATGAGCGTATCCAGAACGAAATTTAGGTGGGGGGCCTATACAGAAAAAAAAAATCAAAACCAGTAACTTAATTATTAAAATTTTTTTTGTTATAACTTAAAATTATTGTAATCAAAAGATGTAAATATGTTGTACAAAAACACATCAACAGAAGTTAGAAACTATTCGTCGATTTAAATAGCTAACTTTTTACTGCGCATGTTAATTTTACGAGGAGGACGCATCGAAAGCCTAACCCCGTCAGTGTGAGACTTTAACCCAAACTAATCTTCCTACCGTCATGTACCGTCCCCCTCCCGGTACCACCGTCAAGTCGGGATTATAACACTGTGCGACTGATAAGGTTATAGATCTATTCTCTTCTTCTTCTTCTTATTTGGCGCTGTAACCGCCAAAGCGATTTTGGCCGAGTTAAACAAAGCACCAGAATACTTTCAGAGCTGGAGCGCTGTATTTTAATTTGCTGCACTATGTCCATGTCGTTGTAAAGCTCATACAGCTCATCGTTCCATCGTCTGCGGTACTCGCCGTCACCAACGCGTAAAGGCCCGTAGATCTTCCGCAAAATCTTTCTCTCAAATACTCCAAGAGCTACCTCATCGGATGTTGTCATTGTCCATGCTTCTGCGCCATATACCAGCGCGGGCATGATGAGTGATTTATAGAGTGTGGTTCTCGTACGTCGAGAGAGGACCTTACTCCTAAATTGCCTACTCAGTCCATTGTAGTACTTGTTAGTAGGAGTGATTCTGCGTTGGATTTCCATGCTGACATTATTATCGGTGTTAATGCTGGTTCCCAAAGAAACCAAATTCACCACCACCAGATCCATTCGCTTTGCTTCCTTGTCCAACTTGGAATAGACCGAACAGACTTTGCGGTTTTTCTTACCGAGATGTCAGTGTAAACGGCATAAACCAGCAATTTTACGCTCTTGTAGTAAATTGTTCCTGAGTGGATCAGTTTTGCAGCTCTTATTATCTACTCCAACAGCAGATTAAAGAAGTCACATGAAGGGAAGTCGCCCTGTCTGAAACCCCGTTTGGTGGCGAACGGCTCGGAGAGGCCTTTGCCACTTCTGGCAGAGGGGGTGGTATTGCTCAACGTCATTTTACACAGCCGTATGAGGTTTGAGGAGATGCCAAATTCAGACATAGCGGCGTATAGGCAACTCCTTTTAGTGCTGTAGAAAGCGGCTGTAAAGTCGACAAATAGGTGGTGAGTGTCGATCCTTTTCTCGCGGGTCTTTTCCAAGATTTGGTGTATTGTCAATACCTGGTCTATGGTGGATTTGCCAGGTCTAAGGCTACATTTATAAGGCCCAATCAGTTCATTGACGGTTGTATTCAGTCTTTCAAACAATACATTCGATAAGACCTTGCAACCTATGCTTAGAAGGATGATCCTGCGGTAGTTGGCACGCATGGCGGTGTCGCCCTTCTTGTGGATTGGGCAGAGCGTACTTGAATTCCAGTCGTCGGGCATGCACCTTATTAGCTGCTTGCCATCGTAACACTGTATGGCAAAATCAACTTTTTTTCTGGGTATTCGACCAAACCATTTTTTTTAAGAGATTGAATCTTAATAAAAAAGTGATTTCTCCGTTTTTAGAAGTTAACTCACGAAATCGAGGTATGGGCCTTCGAAGTTCGAAATAGGAACTTTGGTAAAAAATTATGTTTTATTATTGCATATAAATAACTTAAAACCTAAAGATATAGACGTAGTCCTCCTTTTGCTCTTATTTAAATGGTATATAACTTTTTTGTGCAAGCTTATATTACAGGTGCTGTAAGGGGTCAAAGTTTAGGTCTTCGAAAAATTAAATTCCTTAAATTTCAAATATTTTGAACAGATTTCTAAAAAATTTATATCGTTGTATCTTTCTTCCGATATGCATATTTGTATACTTCGTATATAAAAATTTCAGCAAAAACATATTTAAATGATGAGTACTAATCGATTTAAAAAAAATTGGTATCGTTGTAAAGACGATTAAATCCTCTTTGTGATATCCATATTTGTATATTCGTATATATATATAAAAATTTCAGAAAAAACACATTTAAAAGAAAAAATACCTTTTTTTATAAAAAAAAAATATTAAATAAAAAAGTACTAATCGATTTTTAAAAAATTAGTATCGTAATAAAGACGATTCAATCCCCTTTTTTATGATATGCATATTTGTATACTTCGTATATATATAAAAATTTGAGGAAAAACACATTTAAAGGAACAAATACCTTTTCCTATAAAAAAATATTGACACAGAAAAATTACTAACCGATTTTTAAAAGGTTGGTATCATTGTAAAGGCGATTAAACCCCCTTTCTCTGATATGCACATTTGTATACTTCGTATATAAAAATTCAAAAGAAACTAATTTAAATGAAAAAATACCTTTATTTATAAAAAAAAAACATATTAAAAAAAAAAAAAAAATACAAACCGATCTTTAGAAAATTGGCATCGTTGTAAATACGGTTAAACCCCTTTCTTCCGAAATGCATATTTGTATACTTCGTATGTGAAAATTTGAGGAAAACCACATTTAAAGGAAAAAATAATTTGTTTTATAAAAAAAAATATTTTAAACAAAAAAATTACGAACCGATTTTGAAACAATTAGTACCGTTGTGAAGGAGATTAAACCCCCTTTCTTCAGGTATGCATATTTGTATACTTCGTATTTAAACATTTGAGAAAAATTAGTATATTTTCCTTTTAAGAGTTTTTTTCTCATATATTTATATTGCTTTACATGCAGTAATTAAAAATCATTTTTTACCAAAGGTCCAATTCCGAACTTCGAAGGCCCATAACTCGATTTTGGAAGCTAACTTCGAAAAACGAAGAATTTAATTTTTTTACTAATGACTCAATCTCTTAAAAAAAGTTGATTTGGTCCAATAGCCAGCGGAGTGCCGTACAATGATACTAACCAAATAATATGTATGCTTTTAATAAAACAACAAGAGAAAAACTGTCTAGAGGCACGATTTTTACAACCTTTTATTTAACTTGCTGTAACGACAGCCGATTGAATATGAATAAATATGCATATACATATATGTATATATATATATATGTATATATATGCATATATACATATATGTGGGTATATGCATGAACATGTGTATATTTATGCATGCATATTCTAAGACAAAGAAGTTAACGAAAAAAAAATAAAAGAAGCCCTTTTCGAACCACCCCATGTGAGCCACGGTTAAATTCGCCCTGGTGATAATAATAGAAGCATTATAAGTAGGGCTCGGAATCTCATGCAAATGCACGTTTTTAATGGGAATCTAAAAAATAGAAATAGTTAAGTTATCTTTACGAATTATGAAATTTCCTTTAGAATGGCGTTCAATCGTTTTTGCATATTGTTGTATATTTTGCAAAAAATACCTAATTTTTCATATTTCTTGCGCATATTTCAGTACATTTTACAATAATTTAAAGGAATTTTGCGTATTTTCTTATATTGATTTACAACCATTTAAAAATATTGCGAAACTTTTTGACAAAAGTTCCCCTTGACAAAAAAATTGCCGTTGAGGCACTCTCTTCTGCCTCTGTTAGCTCTTAACTAGTGGAAAACTGTAGGAGAGAACCGGCATATCTCTCTGATAAATACAAAATTACCCTAATATGGGTTCAGGGACATATGTAGGGACATTTATGGAAACGAGGCAGCGGACGAACTGGCAAGGTGCGGCTCCGCACTGAATGTGTCCTATGCGGTGGCGCCTCGCTCAGGAAGATAAAAGCAACAAATACTGAAATCTATCACTCGAAAACCAAGCTGAGGTGGAACCTTACAGGATCACACAGGATTACCCGGCAGTTCTGGGTGTCGAACGACGCACTTAAGCCAGTAATCCCAACAAGCTTAAAAAACAAGATTACGATTAGAGTAATCCTTCATCGATCGAACTTAGATTACGATTACAGTAATCGTAATTTAAAAAAAGTGGAAATTACGATTACTGTAATCGTAATCCAAATGCGTTCGATGAAAGATTACTTTAATTGTAATCCTGTATTGTTTTATTTGCCGTTATACAAAGTTTATTTCGCCCAAACTAGTACTTTATTTATTATTTTTCTTTAATATTAGTTTCTTTTATTTGTCTTTTTTAGATACATACATATTATCCTATCGTTAAGCGCGCATTTATATTTCGCAAATTTATAGAATAACTTCGTTTAAGATTACTCAAAAGGTTGTAATTAGAAAAATTGTAAATTTAAAATTATTGTAATCATTCATCAAACGAACTTAGATTACGATTACAGTAATTGTAATTTTAAAAAAGATGAAACAACGACTACTGTAATTACTACTGATTACAATCGTAATCTAAGATGCCTTCGATGAACGATTATCGCAATCCTAATTTAATAATTTTTGAAATTGCGATTACTGATTATTGACGATTACGATTACATCCTAGATGCAATCGATTACATATGTAATCCTTATCGCCCAGCTCTGGCTTTAGGCTATGCACAAGTGCGCTCGGGTATAAAAATAATTCTATCATTTATATATTAAACAAACTTCTATATAATTTAATTATTTATTTACAAAATTATAAATTAGAACTTACCATTCTCCAAATTATACGACTTAACGGAATCGGTATCCCCCGTAGAATTGTTGGAATGCGCATCAAAGTTATGAGCCTTAAGAACTGTATGTGGAACGTAGCCAACATTGCCCACACAATTCCTAGCCTTCCACCAATTGCGCGAATCGTCGATCACCTAAGTATGTATGTAATTTAATTTAATCTTCTTTTTCACATTGTTAAAAAAAATACGACATACTGATATACATACTTACCTCAAGGTATTCTCCTTTCGTGATATTGAGTTCTCTGTCATTACTATCTTTTTTGTTATAAACAACTTTGGCTATTTTGACATTTCTTGATTGTAAACGAGACAACCAAACGGCATCACTTGCTACAATCCGTGGCGTCATGGGTGAATACGGTTTGGGAGGTGGTATGTAAGGAACCTCTTCATCAACCACCCAATCTGGTGACCAGTCATCATAGAAAATCGGATGATATGATCCTATGTGATCTTTAAAATGCTCCTTTGCCCAAGTCCAATTTTTCCCAAGGGATATCCAGAAATCAGTATTCATAGCATTTAAAGAATTAGATAAAAAATTAATGGTTTCACGACGTAGAAGTGGGTTAACAACATTTTCTGGTATGCTTGACCTAGCATATATATCGTTGCAAACATTCACAATAGTGTGCAACGAGGTAAAAAGGTCAGAGATAGGATCCATTTCATTAGAAAAATTATTATTTAGTTTTACTACCAAATTCATAGCCAATTTCAGTTTGGCAAGAATATCAAAAAACTCGCTTTCAATTGGTGGTCGCGAACGTAATATCAATAGGCCTTCTCCATGGGGATTGTGCTCATTATGTCGCAATTCTAATTCTCGCATTGCCTCTGCAGCATATTTTAGACGTGCAATAAACCGTTCGATGTCTTCAAAACAATGATTTAATACTTGGGTGTCACGCAAGCTTTGCTCGACGTCATGGGCATTTTTTTCAGCAGCCAGACCTGCAGCAGCTTTTGCAATTCCATACTGGTCGCGAGCATTCGGTTGAGCCCTTTCCGATTTCGGAACTTTAATGGCAGACAAATTTCGATCAACTGTAACTATCTTGCCAGTACTTAATTGTTTCAAATCTTCTACCATATGTATGGCAGATACACTCGTTACCTGTATAGAATTATATATCTTTAATAGCCTAATTTAATATAACTTACTATATACTTTGCGGTATGCATGTATGTATATTAGGGTGGCCCTTGCTTGGGATACTCTTCTTCTCACCATCAGAAGCGTGCGAATGGACTAAAAACTACGAGATGAAAAGTTTTAAACCGAGAATTTAGGCACCTTTATTTTCCTCCATACAACTAAAGGCCACTCCAATATGTACACATAATGCTCGTATCTATACTTTCATTCGCAGTATAATACTTTTTGTGGATTCCAAAACTGCATACTGCGGGTTTTTCCAAAGTACTGCATTTATATATTTTCGCTGCCTAAATTTTTGAATACACAGTGTTCGCGGAAACACGTTTTAAAAATGCATATATGTATTATTATGTAAAAAAAATAGAGACCGGACCAGTTTTGATTATATTCCTTTCGGTTGTTTAATGTTTAATAATATTTTATTACAGTCTAGTCAATTATATAATACTTAACATCATATAAATCCACAATACAAACTTTACAGGTAAATTAAAAAAACAATGCCACAACAAAAAAATCTTGTGATCATAATTTTTAGAAAGATTCCAAGTATGTAGTTTTGTGGTTTAGTAAGGTGCAAGTTTCAATAGGCTAAGAATTCGCGTTGATTTTTTGTTAATTTTTTGTAGACGGTGTTTTTATTTTCTTCCATAAAAACAAATTGTCGAACATAGTAACCTTGTATAGAAAAATATGGGTGACTCCGTCAGAAAAACAAAAATTCTGAAATCAACGGTGTTTTGTAGACATTTCAAACTAAAATATTGTTGTTGTGCAACTTTTTTTTAATTTTTGTATAAAGTGAGAAATTTGGATTTACATGGCTTTGTTAGACATATCATTTTGTCTCGGGGTGTACGATAAAGGAATACCTGGTGTTATGAGTACCACACCAGGAATTCCTTTATTTTATTGTTTCTGTAATGTAGTGTAAAAAATGCTTTTACTTTTAAATGGATATACTGCGAAACTGGATTTTTGCTCAGTAATATACTGTTTTTGTCCGAAAAAAGATACGAGCGTTATGTATATGTACATGCATGCATGTATGTACATATCAATATTTGTATGTAGGTATATGCAACTCTCAATAAATTACATAGATGTGGTACGTAGTACTTTTCCAAGCGATTGCTGCGCCTTGTTGGCTATTCTTAAAATCGATTTTTTGATTTAATATATATTAAACACTAGCAGACCCGGCGAACTTCGTCCCGCCCAAAATTTTTATATATTTTATTGAAACTTTTTGGTCCAAGATTTTCACCAACAATTCACGTTTACAATTTTCATAGGCACATTCGTCTGCTAAGATTATGGTTTGGTGGTCATTTGCCGCTTTAAATAACCTAAGGAAAGTGTTATATCCGTGAAGAAGTTCTTGAAATTCTCCAGTTGTGCGGCATTTTATAGCACGGTTATTCGCAAAGCGAAATAAATTTTTTCCTCTTCACTCCCTGGCGGCAACAACCCGGTTCTATAGTGAATGTCNACTTGGCTATTTTCAGAAATAGCTCGACTTCAGCACCACTTGGCAGCACGTTAGCACGGCAGCAATAGTATTGCATACATATTTAAAACATTAGCCAAATCGGATCATAATTTTTAGTAATAACTCAACTACAGCGCCAACTGTCGGATTAAATTGTGAAACTAAACCATCCAGAGACCCACTCAAATACACAAAAAGTTTCGTTAAAATCCGTACAACCATTTAGGAGGATTTCACTCACAAACACACCTACAGAAGAATAAAAAAATTCATTCAAAGATAGCTAAAGGTCGGTACGTTTGTAGGCCTCACACCCCTTTTCAAATAGCCCAAATTTTCTCCATGAGTATGGGCTTGATTTCAACTACATACATGAAGTTCCACATGAAGTTCCAGTACTGTACCATGCATACTTTCAGAGATATTCAGTATAAAAATTCGATTTATATGGGAGTTGCCACGCCCCCCTTTCCAACAGCTGCCCTCTTTCTTCATGAGTATGCGATTGATTTCGTATATCTCCATACCAAGTTCCAGAACTCTACCATGAACACTTCCAAAGATAGGCAGTATGAAAAATTCGGTTTGTATGGAAGATGCCACGCCCCCTTTTCCAATAGTTACAAGAGTTGATTGCGTATATATACCAAGTTCCAGAACTCTACCATGCACACTTTCCGAGATATGTAGCATGAGAAATACGGTTTTTATGGGAAGCGCCACGCCCCCTTTACATATAGATTTTTTTTTAGCCTAAAACCATCCTTGGGACACGTGCGGCAGGTGGCAGTTTCAAAAAAATCGGTTCAGCCGCTCTCGAGCCTTGCGAAAACTAACAAACGGCTTTCTAAATATATATTAGTTGAGATATATTATATATTATAATTATATTTTGACAGTATCCGTTGTTTCTGATTGGCGCAAAAAAATCTTGCCTAGTGACGAATTCGCCCCTTGATATGGTCGTTACTTAAAGCTATTTATATTCGAAATTGCATGAAAATTGGAAAACAGGAATCTATAAGCTTATCCAGGTAAAAAGCTACCTACGTACCGAATTTTAAGCAAATCGGACAGTAAATAAGGTTTTTTCGAATAGACCGGTCCCTGGTCCACTTCTCGGAAAAAATGGATCATATATGCTAATATATGCTACTTACGTACCAAATTTTAAGCAATTCGGACCATAATAAGATTTTTTCGAATAGATCGGTCCCTGGTCCAATTCGCAGAAAAAATTGTTCATATATGCTAATATATGCTAAAAAGCTACTTACGTACCAAATTTTAAGCAAATCTGACCATAATTAGATTTTTTCGAATAGACCGGTCCCTGGTCCACCTACCCGAAAAAAGTAAATTTTTTTTAGTCTAAAACATGGTGGTTACCGTAAGCTATTTATATACAAAATTTCATGAAAATCGGACCAGCCGTTCGCGAGATTACCTGTTACAAAAAAAGGGACTTCTCTTTATATAATTAGTATAGATATGCGCAAATGCGTTTAAACGGCAATTTTTTTTCACTTTTATTTCAACATATTTTGATTAAAAGAAAAATACTGATAAAAATAAAATATTTCACACAAACAACAAAAAATATAATCGATAATCGCATGAGGCTATTGCCTGAAAATTTTAAAACGTACTTAGCGTGGGGCTGCCAGATATCTCTGTTGCCAAACCGGGACACTTTAGGGAGGGCCTCTCGCTCCCTTCTTCTTCATTTCGACGTGCGAAAGGATGTAGGGAAATCTTATTTTGACAGACAAAAACAAAAACATAAACACATGAGATCATGAGATCATTCCAACGTACGCCAACAAAACAACTTATCACAACTAAAGCACAGAGAATTTTTTACAATGCATGAACCTTTTTTATTCTTTATAAAAATACAGTTTGTACTAAATATATGAAAAAACATAAAAATAAAATTGTTAAACTTTGTGCTAAACTCGGGAAAATTCAATAAATTTGCATACAAATTTGCAACATTCTAATCAGACTTTTTATAAAAATGTTTAAAATGAAGTTTTGCAGCCCATTAAATTTTAGTTGATTTTTGGTTTACTGAGAGTTTCTTCCATACAATCTATGTTTGATAATTATTTTTATATGGAAGACACTGTCAGCAAAAAAAAAATAAATGCTAAAAATCAACGAAATTTGCTGGCAACCTCAGACTCGCACTTTATTAATTGGCTCAAAAGCTACATTTTAAAAATTTTTCTAAACGATCTGATTAGAAATTGTGATCTGATTAAAGAGCCTCCGAGCCAATAATTTTGTACGCCACTGTACTTATAAGTACTCTAGGTTTCATGAAAGGAAAAAATATAAGTACAAGATAACATTAAAATATCAGTCATATTTTTCGTTGCTGTGAACTTGTTTCAAAACTTCTGTCTTTTCCTTAATATAATTGTAAAACTCTGTGCACGTCATTTTGAACGTATTTAGGTACATATCGATGGCTGAGTGGAAGATCGACCTATCTCGGCAGCCAGTTCGAAAACGCCCTATCTCAGAAAACTTTTCAAGAACGCCCTACTTCAGAATTTGATTAAAAACGCCCTAATTCAGAATATTATTGAAAAACACCCTACCTCAGAATTTTGTTGAATAACGCCCTATCTCAGAATTCGGTTCAAAAACGCCCTATCTCAAAGGAAAATACACTGGGCGTTCTTGAAAAGTTTTCTGAGATAAAGCGTTGTTGAAAAATTTTCTGAGATAGGGCGTTTTCGAATTGGCTGCCGAGATAGGTCGATCTTCCACTCAGCCATCGATATACTAATCACCAACTATTGCTTGTGCAAAGTTCAACTATCTCGAAATGTGACTATTTCACAATATAAACCGGTACACTGAGAGAAAGAAGTTTAGAATTAAAAAAGCGTGCTAAATTAAAAAAAAACACGCATATGAAAGAGCACCAACCCAACTCGTAATACATTTAAGTATACAAATTTTAGTATTTAGTATAGAAATATTCAATTCAAATACGCCCATATTAAAATGAAGCGATTTGCAATTACCGATTGCTTTTTCGTAATTAAGTTTAAAAAAATATTTAAACTCCATGCTGGTTGTAATGGGAATTGAGCCCTGACCCTCTGGAAATTAGCAAATTGTGGCAGGCATCTTCGCGCACTCACCTACAGCCAGACATGTAATGTGCATTTAAATGTTGAGTNAGAACATTTTTAAACGAGAATCAAATAGAAAATATTCATGTTTACTTCCCTCAGTGAATTCATAACATTTTTCTGAATATTACAACGCGTTTTTTTCCCTTAGTGTAGTGATTTTTGAACTTTTATTCAAATTTGTGAAATCAAATCAAAAAGCAGGACACTAAAACGAAACCGGGGACATTTTAAGGTTGGACCGGGATACCGGGACAAATAGTCTAAAACCGGGACATGTCCGGGAAACCGGGACGTCTGGCAGCCCTAAC